AGGAGAAATGTTCCCTGTGCAGTGCACGTGGCGGAAAAATGTGAGAAAAGGAGCAACAAAATTGGAGTTGCATGCAAATGAGGTTCTTTGACGTTGCATTGAGAATATATTTTGGAGGACCAGGTCTGTTTTCAGCTAAAGGTTACTTGGTTGATAAAGCAGTCATTCTGTCAGAAAGTACAAGAAACGGAAATAAATGATAATTCTGAATAATTTGAATCCATTTGTTGATTAGAAATTGTCCAACAAGTGCACACATCTATATCAACATTCAAAATCCAGATGTAGTCTTAGTAACCAGAATATGGTACCCACACCTTTATTGTACATTGTTTTAAAACCTTCAACCAGTCACCACCACTTCTCATAGTATATTGACAAGTTGATTATTAATTCCCTCCCTAGTAGCACATGGGGAATGCAGTCATAGTAAGGTACTTGAAAGTTGTCTGTGACGAATAACTTACGTGGCACGACTATCCTGGCAGGAAACACCACCCATCTGGCACATCAAGCAGATTAAAACAAACACCTAAGAATTCTTTGCGATTACTCTCTGAGCCCGGCCTGTTGTGTCTGGAAGAAAATCAGGTTACGCACGGAAATGGAAAGCTGTCCATCTTTTTGCCTGTTCCTCAGCACCTCAGGAAAGTCTAGGATCTATAGAGACATATTATTGAACACCAACCACAATGTTTTAATCCATTAAAACTTGTTTAAATAAATATGGGCTTTTGAGATGGAAAACGTATTGGATTGGTGAATCTATATTTACAGCGTTGGATAGCTGATCTGTTTCTCTTTGCTTTCCTAATTTTTTTTAGGTAAAAGCTTCCAGCAACAGAGAGAGACCTTGAAGAAAACTATAACAGACAAGAGTCGAGAGCACCAAGGTCTGTTGAAACATACCTATGTGAAAATACAAGATATTATTTGCAAACTCAAACATTCTGCATCCATCCTGACTCACATAAAAATAGAAGTTGTGGTGTCTAGATGGCTGTAACAAACTGGAATGATAAAGCGAACATTCTTTTGACTTGTCATTTCTCCAGGGAAGCTTTGGTGTGCAAAGAAAAGCAAGAAACAAAGGAAGAAGAGCACGCCTAACTTGAGCAAAAATACTGGTAAGACTCTACTTTTTCTTTTTTACTTTTCTCACTGCGTCTCTTCAGAAATGTAACGGTTTGAGATGTCTGTTGAGAATGTGCTCTCTCTTCCTCAACAACCACTAAAGCTACACCCTTAACCCACTAGACTCCCAATTGTCACTTCTTATTTACCACCAGTGAAAGCCAGTTTCCAAGTGCCCACACATTGTCAGTATTAACCCCACACGTTAGCTGGAGTTGACATGTCTGGTCGTTCTCGCAGCAGCTTGTCGCAGCTCGGTGTGTCACAGGTCAGATTAATCCTGTCTTCACAGACGGGATCAGAGGAGGCACCAACAGGTGCCCAGCAGGTGCCTAAATGGCTTGAAGGGAACTATGGCGTTATTGGTTCACACATAGAAACACATATATACTCAGGTTCAAACACACACTATTCAGTGGCCAGCAATAGCGGACTTTATGTGTAGCTGAGAGGGTCGAATATGAAGCAAGACATGGCTAAAAAATATTTTTTGCACAACAGAAAAGACACAGGGGTAATAATATAGTAGTTTGGTACAATATTGATCTCCTCTCACCTCTTTCCCGCCTCCAAAGAGGGGTCAGAGGTCGTGGTTGCTTACAGAACAGCATCCCAAGAGCTAGAAAGGATTTGTTGAGTTGATTGGGGATGTTTCATTAACCCTCCCCCTGACTGTCTCCTCAGATTGCGATGACATCCCGACCTACGAGGAGATGTCTCTTTATCACCAGCCTGCCAGCCGCAAACGCCCCATCGCTCTGATTGGTCCTACAAACAGCGGTCACGATGAGCTGCGTCGGAGGCTTCTGTCCATTGAACCGGAAAAGTTTGCCGTTGCTGTTCCGCGTAAGTCAATGAACAGGGACACGGCAATATCAAATATTCATAAAAACACTTTATGAATCCAGACAAGGAACACAACATGTGAATTTGCAAAGAATTTAAATAATTTGACACATAACATCACCTTTATGCAACTGTGACTGCACAGTTTACAACAGACGCATAAAAAGGACTTACTGTGTATTTTTGATGTGTGACCTGTGCTGATTACCTTGAGGATTTTTCCCAACAAGTCAAATTTTAAAGGAATTTATCCTTTCTCACGGCTCAGACACAACCAGAAACTCAAGGATACATGAGCGGAATGGGCGCGAGTACAATTTTGTGAGTCGGGCTGCCTTCGAAACCGACCTGGCGTCAGGGAAGTTCATTGAGTCAGGGGAATATGAGAAGAACTTGTACGGCACCAGCACCGACTCAGTTCGACACGTCATCAACTCCGGACGCATCTGTTTGCTCTGCCTCCACACCAGGGTAGGAGACTGAGCACTTGTTACTGTCTGGACTTAACATTGTTTCTGTCTTAACATGTTAATTACAAAGCCCATTTCATCCCACTGTCTTGATCTTAACCATTGTGGCTTCGCAAGAACATAATTACATCTTTTTCGTGTCCTGAACATGAATCTCAAATCGGTTTTTGGTTGATTAAAAAGTCAATAAAGAAGACGCTATTGCAGTGTTTGGCTTGGTGTATTTTTAGTCCTGTTTTTTCTTTATTTTGGTTTTCATGTATTCATTTAATATATTCATATGTCCCTGTTCTTCCTCCTGTCAGTCACTGCAAGTATTGAGATCCTCCAACCTCAAGCCCTATGTCATCTACATCGCTCCTCCTTCTCAAGAACGACTGCGCACCCTGCTGGCCACAGAGGGGAAAACACCAAAGGTACCCACTGTCTCCAAATTGTTTTTTTTTTTTTTTTTTTTTTTTTTTTTTTTTTTTTTAATTTTTTATTTGTTAGGAATTTCGGGGGGCCTTCTTGATTTTAAGGGGTGTAAGAAAACTATATACACAGTAGCCTATATCTCAGCATTTTGTTCATTTTTGTGTGAAAAACAAATAAAATTGTTATTAAAATTTAAAATTTTTGATTATTATTTAATATTTAAACTTTGAAGACCTGAATACAAGCTATATTCACAGAGCCTCGTCCTGCATTAGAAAACAACCAATGAGCTAATAAGACAATGACAAGAAAACACTGCCTATGTATGATTTTGAAAACAAATACATAATGCAGACAGATAATTGTATAAAAATGTCAGGAAAACTCATCTCTGATAAATATTAACAGGAAATAATCTGCTCAAAATGCATCCTAATCTCGTTTTACACAAACTTCCTGCAATTACTGTGTTCCCTGTTGTACAGTTTATCAGTTGTTCTCCACTGTTATTGTTATACCTTGAATATAATATGAAATACCCATCAAATATGTCACTAAGTCAGTGTACTTAATGACCGGAAAAGGGGTCCCTTAAGGAAAATGGTTGGGAACCACAGCTCTAAATACACAGTACAACGGAAATAAACAATACTGCATCACATCGTGAAATAACCAACACAGCTATCACAATGATAACAAAATGTTCATATCATAAATTAAAAAGCATTTAAGATTTATATCGCCACCCTGTCACTGACTAAAAAGCATTGTCTTGTTTCCTGTACACAGCCTGAAGAGCTTAAGGAGGTCATTGAAAAGGCCCGCGAGATGGAGCACAATTTTGGCCACTTGTTTGATGCAACCATTGTGAACATGGATCCAGACCAGGCTTTCTACGAGCTGCGCAGGCTGATAGACAAGCTGGACACTGAGCCACAGTGGGTGCCCACCTCCTGGCTGTGCTAGAGGTCACAGGGTCTCACCGTGGGGAGCCTCAGGGTAGGAGGAGGTAAACAAAAGAACAAACATGAATGTTCCCCGGAGACTGAAACAAATGAAGGATGGACAGTGCTGATTGTCGCTGGATTTTCACGTGCACATTCTCCTCGTTTATAGAGGAGGGGGTCTTTACCACATGTTGCAGGGATGGACTCAAGTTTCTTACGTTTCTTTTTGTTGGTGTGTGTGTCTTTGTGAGTGATTTTTTTTTTTTTTCTGGTTGTTTTATGAAGGTTCTTGTTCAGTTTTATGCAAAGTCATTTATCAAACAAATAGAAAGATTTCTATCCTATTCTTCATAGTTATTTATAATTGTAAATATATATTTTCTAGACAAAAGGATATTTTATTGTTACATTTTGTGTGTCTATGTGATATACCAAACAGTACACTCAACTCGGAGTGTGTTAATGTTACAAATATAAAGTGGCTTCCTGATAAAAGCAGGTACCAAACAGAAGAGAAGCACTTGTGCTTAAAGTAGCTGCAGTTTGATGTCTTCCAGTCAGAAACACAGAAGAAATATCTGCTGTAATCTGCACAGTTTTGGAGTGCTTCCTTTACACCAATGTCAGTATTATTTTATGTTGTCTCATGTCTCATTTATGCTGTGATAACAGACCTCAAATTGAAGGTATTGTCTCTAGCTGGTTATCATTACTATCAGTATATCATGCTGCAAATTACTGCTGGGTTAGTTTAGTAACGGTATTGCTTCTTTGCAGGATACTTAAATCATAAGCACAATTCTGGAAAAGAGTGTTAATAAAATCCGATACATATGTGAACAAGTGATGTACATACTGAATGCAATGATTTCACCTTGTAATTGTTGTTATATTAGAGAGCGTCATTTTAAAACCAGTTAGTAATCTTGGTGATACAACACAAATGCAGTCATTCACCCCTTGTGAAGTCCTGCTGCAACTAAAAATAATGTGTTAAATTTAGAGTTCTGCTGCAAGATGACTGCCATTCCTCACCTCGCTGGGTTGAACACTTGGGCATAAAGTTTCCTAGTCCCATTTTTCTTTACATACTGAACTGAACTTCTACATCCGTCCCAAAGCCTGATTATGAAACTGTTGCGACGTGTGTAAAAGCTTTAATCTTAGTAAGAAATCCAGGCAGTGATTGGATATTGATAACATCTTTATTTGGAGGAGGTGTGGGGCTTTCTTGACTTGCACACCAAGTTTACAGTTTTATTTAGGGTTTCTGGTACAATGGTAAACATCCTCAAATGAGGTAACAACAACCCTGTGACATGAGGTCAGCAGCGGGACAGGCCTCCACAACACAGACTCACACACTCAGACATCTACAACCACCTGAAGCTTTACAGCATGCAATGGCTCTAAACGTTGTGAGGAAACTGAAATATCTACAAGTTTGATCCGTCACACAGAATGCTTCTTTAATTTCACTCGCACACCATGTGTAAACATAGGTATATTCTTATTATTTAGATTATTTTATCATAGTGAATTCACTCCCTTGTGGGTAAAACAACCAAGTGTGACAACACTTTGGCTCTGTACAGTGACAGATCTGCAAACACACAGGACCTTCCAACACTGAAACAACAGAACAAATCATCACAAGTACACAAAAAAAACCAACTTCCATCACTTGCTTGAGAAGACATTGACATGGCCAGAGAGGCACAGAATAAATAGGATGGTGGGTGGAGTCGGTGACCGTCTGCCTTTAGAGGGCTTCACTCGAACAGCATGTCTTCGTCTGTCTCCTCCATCAGCATGTTGGTGGGCTCTGCGATGGGACCCAGTTTAGCCAGGCGCTCAGCAATCTCCAGTTCTGTCCTTTCCCTGAGCTGCTTCTTCTTCTCTTGGATCTTCTTCAGCCTAGCAGAGGAGGGAATATTATCAGAGTTATAACAAAAAACAAAAAGTTGAGGTAGTAAATTTATAAAAGTGCACATGTGGTCAGAGTTCTTTAAAATGTTTTCACCTGTAAAACTCCTCTCGTTCTCTTTCATCTAGTTCTGTGATGATGTAGGTGAGGGTGCGATCAATGCGGGGAATAATCACTGCAACGTGGGATAAAGATGAGCAACAAGAACAATCGCTGTACTTCAATGTTTGATGAAAAGGTAACAATTGTAAGTGTGGGAAAAGTGTGAATTTACCATGCTCGATAGCGTTCACACGGCGGTTGGTAATCTTTATGGCTTCATCCAGAGTGACAAAAGATGTCTACAGACAGGAAGTGGGCAAAATGAGTCAGAATTTTACACTTTTTCTTACAGACAATACAGACTTATTGTAGTAATTTTGACTATCATTTAATTAACAACAAACTCAAGTTCCAGTGATATGTTAAAAAATTACTCTAGCTATCAAACGTAGAAGTGTAAAGTAGTATAAAACGTAAACACCTAAATACAAATACCTAAAGATTCTTCTTGAAAAATAATAAAAACTAAGCCGAATGAACTTCGGCATATTTGTTACAGCGCCCCCTACCTGTAAGGAGGCCAACTCCACCAGAAGCTCAACAGCTCTGGCGTAGTTCCTCTTCAACCTGGAGAGCTGCTCTCCTCCTCTGGCCAGACCGGTCAGCTCATAACCTGAAAGACACCGTGAGAGTGAGGTCTCGCCGTCATTCACCAGCCAACACACACTGATTCTATCCAGACATCACTTACTGTCTCCGCCTTCTTGGTAGTGCTCAAACACTGGAAGGGTGACACCTAAAAAGAGAGAAAACCGTGTTTAAGAACTTGTGTGATAAAGGGATTGTAAAAAGTAAGGAGATATAATATTTTGTAGGCTAACCTGCCACGTTGTCTTTCTTGGCTCGGACCTTCACTTGGGCTTTGTTGACATTCTGGATTACAGTTGTGCTGCGGACAGAATTACAGGCGGGAGTTACAGACGCATCTGAACCAAACACCACACCACATGACGAGATCTCGCTCTGATTCTTACCTGAAGTCTCCAGCTGCAAATTTGGCTTCAGCCAAAGAGAAAGCCGCCTCTCTCATCACCTCTCCCATCTTAGTCTTAGTCTGAGGGGGGAAAAATATATAAAGGAATCCACCTTTTAGAAAATGGAGTTATGAAAGAAATTGATGACCAGTTATTAATAGTTTTCAACTGACTTCAATAATTTTGCGGAGGATCTGACGGAAGCGCATGGAGAGGGCGTCAGACTTCTTCTTGAGCAGGTTGCGGCCGGTCTGAGCTCCTTTCAGTCGAGCCTTCATGATGGTCTGAGCCCTACGAGTACCCAAAAGATTCAAATATTTACACACTCTTTGACACTTGCGGGTAAAAGGAAACAGACACTACAACAGCTGGAATAACAATTTATTTTAAATGTTGCCACTAACAAATATCAGCATTATTAGTCTACATCAGTGGTTCCCAAACTTCTTTTTGTCTGATGTACCCTTTCAGCCCTATCAGATGGGCTCAAGTACCCTTTAATAGAACTGTTTTATATTATTTGACTGCACAGTTATCCTGGTATTGATGATGTTAAGGCTCGGCCTACTGTTTTAGTGATTTCATTCAGGTTCGTGGTAGAAACTGGCAGTTTATCTGTTACTTTGGGTGTGTGGGTTTTTTTTTTTTTTTTCTAATTGCCTCTCTGTTACTTTTTTTAGACAGTTGTGACAATAAATACACTAAAGATCAATACCACACATTTGCAATCCTACTTGTGTGGTCATCTTTCTCCAAAAGACAAACAAACTGTTTATTCAAAGTCGCTCAGGTACTCGACTATCTTCCCCTGTGGTATCTAAACAACTCCTGGTTGGGACTCACTGACCTACAACTCAGAAACAACTCGCTGATATTTGCAACCAATGTTCTTGATCTTCATCCTTATCAAAAACACAGCCCATCTCTAGGATTAAAACCCCCCCCTCTCTCTCTCTCTCTCTCTCTCTCTCTCACATACACAGAGGGTACAGAAAAGCTGGCATGATTGAATCAATATGGTAAATACGATTAGACAGGAACCTCCACTGCTCAGAGGAAACAGAAGACACTGAAGATACAAAATGTTAAAAATAATAATAATAATAATAAAGCCCTGTTACTGTCTGGAGGTTTCAGACAGCTCACACTGGCATCACATCAGAAACATCACATGACAAAATGAGGACTCTTCCTCTTTTCCACAGTAACCTGGCACTGATATAAACTATATTTAGGCTTGAATCCCACTGCAGAAACCAGACTGAGCTCCCTTTCTGTGTGAGATTGACCCTAACTGTCCAGCAGCTAAGAGAAAAAGCAATAAGTCAACAGTATGGCATTATATCAGCTGGATAAGAAGCAGTGGGTTAGCAGACGAGCTAGCACACAAGCTGCTTACATTCTGGAGGGGAATATGTCGATTCTCTCTTTTCCCGACATCTTCTCGTCGTTTGGTCGATGATTGCGGTCTTGTGTTTACTTCAGTTGTCTATCAATGGACGGTGAAACGTTCGCCTTCAGTCCGCTCTGTTGAACGGTGTGTGTAAAGCGGACTCCCGGTTGTTTTTCCCGTGCAGGATTTTAAGACGCACAGCTCGAGGGTGATGATCGTGATCTTGTCCGACTCTCCGTCCGCGGTGATCAGCTGGTCTCCGGTCATGTGACTGAGCCGAACGCGTTCTGCACATGCGCGCGTCGGAAAGCCCTGGCGATCTTTTTCCGGGTCGAGAAATTAGCACACCCGTGAATGTGAGCTAGCGGGGCCTAATTCTTCGTTAAAAAACCCCCCGAAAGGAAACACAATTGGACATTTAAACACTCCCAGCACAGAACATTCAAGTGTATCGTCCTGTAACCATATGACAGAGGTGAGTTGTGTATCGATGAAGCGGATATTTACCGGGATCACACAGGGCTTGGTAGCTAGTTGCTAACTGCTAGCGTCGACACCAGTGCATGTGCCGCATGTGAGTTGGGAGCCGGGTTATCAGCTAGGAAGCTAACGGATATTAAAGTGGCTGTCTTTTTGTCCTTAGATTCAGATTTCGTCTTGTGGTTTTTCTGATTTCCTTCCGAGCTAGAGTCGCTGTTGATGTGTTACACTCGTTTTTAAGCGAGGGGGGGTTTTTAATCTTGTTTTTGTTCAGTTTTCGCTTTTAAAGTAAGTTGAAACAGGAATCTGGCTGCGTTGCATCATCCCATTCAGAGACACAAATGTGGGAAGAAAACTGCCAAGTGTCCTCTAATACTGCTTCATCCTCCTGTTGTTATTGTGGGGATATTTTCCAGGTTAAACTGAAGTTATATGAGCTCCTAAAGTCTGGAGAAAAAATACAACCACTCAGAAACAGGAGGAACAATGTGTCAGATTAAATGGGTTTGTCCTGTTCAACTAAATCTGTTGTAGTATTTAGTCCACCCTCATTTGTATCACTGAGGGTAAATTAAATGTTTGAGACATCTTTCACTCTAGCATAGTACAGTTAAACAGCACTGTAAGTTAAAGCCTCCAACAGTGACCGTAAATATGAATGAACAGCTCTTAACAACAGTCAGTTGATTTTAGACATTTCACATCCAAGGCAGGTGTATTTCAGTAACAGCCCAGGATCAGACAGTGTTCCTGTACCGCTCAGTGAACTCATCATGGGTGCTGTCATTGTCTCTTGGGGCATTATCTGTTTTCAGTGGTTCCCAACCTTTATGGCTTGTTGCGACGCCTTAAATATAAAGCAATGTTTACCTCGTCACAGTTTGTGGCTCTTATGTGAATGTGAGATGTGGCCAGATGAATAGTGTAGGGATTTCTTAGAAGTATGTATTTTACAGTTTGAAGAGGTAAAATTCAGATTTTTTTTTCCATAAGAAAACTGAGAAAGATTTGGAGAGCAAGAACATCAAACGTATTTTTTGGTAACAGCGATGTTTTCTCGTCTTTCTTTAATCACCTTGTAAGCTCAGATTTATCAAACTACAGGTTGGCAACCACTTCTCTAGATCATCATCAGATTCACAAATTAAAACTGAGCTGTATAACATTGAAGATTTAGTAAAAACCTGATTTAAATGTATTTAAAGCGGCATGTTTGAACCTCCCTGCCTGGTAAATGTCCACATTTTTCCACACTCCCCATTGTGGGACAAATAAAGGAATATCTATCTATCTATCTATCTATAACACAGGTATTCTGTTGAAAATTATAGTATTCAAGCTAGAGTTAGTTTCTCAAACTTTAGAAAACTGACATTATTGTTTGTACTTTTCATGATGTGCACACTGATCTTGTAAAACTGACGGCTCGTCCCATTTAGGAGGATTTGTGACAGCGCTGGCCGCTTCAAATATTTGACCTGTCTCTCTTTGTGTCTGTTTTCCCAGCGATGCCGGGGCTCAGCTGCCGATTTTACCAGCACCGGTTCCCAGAGGTGGAGGATGTTGTGATGGTGAACGTGAGGTCCATCGCCGAGATGGGTGCCTACGTCAGCCTTTTGGAGTACAACAACATTGAGGGCATGATCCTCCTGAGCGAGCTGTCACGTCGACGTATCCGCTCCATCAACAAGCTCATCCGCATAGGCCGCAATGAGTGCGTGGTCGTCATCCGAGTAGACAAAGAGAAGGGTGAGTGCAGGCAGGAGGGTGCTACCTCTAGAGATGATGATCAGTGGGGTTGCACTAAGGACGGGAACCTTTTTTGCTAAAGTTGCAGGTGGAATAACGTCCCAACTACAGCTGACCTTGTTCTGTAGTATAGATGGAGCATGATGGAGTAGTTCTAATATCTGCAAGTAATGACATTATCAATCATTATCAGAAGGGATGAACCAATGTAGGGAAATTCTGTGCCGATATCAATGTTTTTTGTTATTTATATACACTTTGTGCCAGGGAAATCTATAAAGATGAGCACATGTGCCTTGTTGCAGCTCAGTTTATTTCTCTTTTTATCCAAGATGTGAGACGCAGAGCTGAACAGCCGCTCACTGTCCGTGTCCATCATCAATTATCCATCAGTTTTTTAACTTAAGAATAATTTACTCTAAAATGTCAGCAATATTTGTGTGAGTGAATAAACACAGATATAAGTAGCGTATTACATGTTTTGTACATATTTGTATTTTTCTGTGTGGAATGTCTACCGGCGTCTATTTCCAGAGCCTAAAATGATCTTCTGATCAGCTGAAAACAATGCAAGTATTTGATTTGTGTTTTGTAACTATTAGCCTTTGACAGCCATCCTTCCTCTGGACTAATATCTGTTCATATTCTGTCCCGTGTGAATATTCTGAATGCATCATGCCATGGGGAAAATATCACAACATCTCTTCTCCGGTTTGTCTCTAGGATACATTGATTTATCAAAAAGAAGAGTTTCACCAGAGGAGGCCATCAAGTGTGAAGATAAATTCACCAAATCTAAAACTGTAAGTCACATTGTGCCCAAAGGCTCATTCTGTTTTTAATGTGTGTTCCTCCTAAAAATAACTAATTACTGAAATGTTTTTTCAGATGACTAAATATTATAAATGCAGTTGAAAGCCAACAGGTTTAAAATCTGGATTATTAAAAACTACAGTGCCATTTGTTGAGCTCTTGAATCTTGACCATTGAGTCGGTAGTCGCATCGAGCTGATGCTGGTTGTTGCGTTTGCAGGTGTACAGCATCCTGCGACACGTGGCAGAGGTGCTGGAGTACAGTAAGGACGAGCAGCTAGAGAGCTTGTACCAGCGCACCGCGTGGGTCTTCGATGAGAAATACAAGCGGCCAGGATACGGAGCTTACGATGTCTTCAAACAAGCTGTATCGTAAGTGCTTGTTTTGAATATTTGGTGTGAGGCACGTCCCAAAATTTTATTTAGTCATATACAATGGTGAATATCCCCCCCCCCAACAGAGATCCCGCCATTCTGGATGGTCTAGACTTAACAGAGGAAGAGAGGGCTGTGCTGATTGATAACATCAACAGGCGACTCACTCCACAGGCTGTCAAAATCAGAGCAGGTAAACATATACTCTGAAGCTAACAGCTGGTCATTATTTATTCAAACTCTAGCAATAAAAGCTTCAGTTGGACTTGATGTGACCTGTGATTTGTGTTAATCTTTTCCCTCTTCCGCCTGCAGACATTGAAGTGGCATGCTACGGGTATGAAGGCATTGATGCCGTGAAGGAGGCTCTGAGGGCCGGGCTTGGCTGCTCCACAGAAGCTATGCCCATCAAGGTAAAATTGGCACTGAACTGATGCTTGAACCTCGTTTTCTGTCACAAACTAAAGAAACTCACAAAGAATTAGAGAGTGTAAACTGCTGCTTTACTTGTATGTTTTGGCGGAGTAAAAGCTGTTAGTGTAAAAGCCTGTAATGGAGTGTTAATACATGGTCTTGTCGGTATTTGCAGATCAACCTGATCGCTCCCCCTCGCTACGTGATGACAACGACCACTCTGGAGCGCACAGAGGGCCTGTCTGTGCTCAACCAGGCCATGGCTGCTATCAAGGAGAAGATTGAGGAGAAGAGAGGCGTCTTTAACATCCAGATGGAGGTCAGTGACTTCACTGTCTTTGTGCAACCAATCTACATTTAACTACAAGCTACACGTTCACACATAATCCTCCAGGGTCAAAATGATTTATCTTTTAACTACTACAGGAGGACATTTTGCTTATTTAACTACAACAACAAACAAGAGAATATACTTTCTTATTTTGAGAATAAAATTTAATTATATGTAACATTATAAAGCATAATTTGGGGAGGGGAAGTTCTGAGAAAAAAGTTCTGAGAATAAAGTTGCGTCTCAACATTAATATTTGTCTCAAAATGTTACTTTATTTTCATGCATTGTTCATAAAATTATTACTTTATCTCATATTTATGGCTTTTTATTGTAAATTACAGCTTTACCTTTTAGTATTGTCACTGCTTGAGCTTTCTCAAAATATTTTACTTCACAATCCTTCCTAAAATACCCAGTGTACAGAAATCTCTCTGTTTTTACATATTCCTACTTATTTCTTTGCATTGGCACAAATAATTAAATGGTAAACTGTCCCCTTCAGCCAAAGGTGGTGACAGACACAGACGAGACGGAGCTCGCCCGGCAGCTGGAGAGGCTAGAGCGGGAGAACGCAGAGGTGGACGGAGACGACGACGCTGAGGAGATGGAGGCCAAAGCAGAGGACTAGTGTCAGTTCTCGGAGGAAGGCCTGTTGAGGGAGGGGAGGGGGGCGGGGGGGATAAACATCAGAGGAGAAATGTGGACAGACCTGGCCACAGTCACGCAGTCCGACAGATGTCAACTTTCACACTGCAAACATTAACTGGCGTTAATAGTTCATTGGCAAACATCCCAGTTTGTTCATTAGCAAGGTTTGTTTCAGAAGATGGGAACACAAAAGGCCGTCTTCTTACCCAGACATGGACACAAGTAAAGTTAAATTACAAATTAAACATCAATATCTTTTCTGTTTTTAAGTACACCGATTTGAATAAATAACTCTAAAAAAGCTGTTTACAAGCAGTGGCCTTCACTTACCTCTTGCTTTAAGAGCCCAGTGTCTTCAGTATCTATGGCGCTTCATCGCTTGCTGGTCATCACTGGATGTGATTGATTAAAGGAGAAACGCATAAGCTCGTCTGTCTCAACACCGGTCAGTGGTGACTTTATGTGCTGTTTCTCTTCCAGTTAAAGGGTTTATACTGGCAAGACCTGCTCTTGTTTAGCTCATATGGCACCAATAAAGTTCTGGAAGTTTTGATCTCAATGCGTTTGTGTCTGCTGCTGTGAGTACATTGAATGAAATGGCACCAGATTACACTAACCTTTCATTTAAGGATTGTTTTCCTGTGTAACTACTTTCCAAACAAGGTTTTCCCACTACAAAGCTCAGAGAAAGCAAATGGAACTTGCTATCACTCTCAAACTGACTGGTGGGTGAATTACTTACAGGAGAAAAAGTATATAATTAAACTCTGAAGTCTAATGTTTTGTTTCTTTTAAAGCTTTGTTTACATCACAAACATGCATAAAAGCTGGTATGAAGCAGACTGAATAAATCATAAAATTTAACTAACATATCTACCCTTATATTATCAGCTCAACCATGGTACATTAACAAATGTTATTAAATGCATAACCAGTTAAAAATATCTTAACATACAAATGGCAATTGTACAGTATAGTTGCAGTTGTAGTGCTTCTTTAAAAAGTCATTTTACTTTAAAATCAGGAACATTCACATTTATAACAAGAGAATGACTTGAGTTTTAAAACCTTGCAATCACTGGTTAACGTAGCCTTGACATTTGCAACTTCAGGCGATTTATTACAATTGTCAATCACACCTTTGTCCAACTCCATGACTATAATAAAATCATACTTAATGATTTGTGAAAGAAGCGAAGGGTGAGCAGTAACAATCAATTGCTGGTTCACAAACCAATATAAAAATCAATTTTATTCAAATGTTCACCAATACAAAAACAAATGGAGAGCATCTTCAACAACTTGAAATCACTTTTTCCTGTTCTTAGCTCATGTTCCTATAGTGGTTATGACGTGTGTGCTTTTTACAGCTGCAGGGATGTCACCACCCAAGATACTGATAGACGCATTTCAAATGACAACTAGGTGCTTTTGAGACGGTCTGAGGACGAGAACATGCCAACACGTTTGTCAGGAATGTGATGAGGAAAAAATTAGGAAGGAAAATGTAACTCGACAGAAATAAATGTAGTTGTGTCCAAAACCCTGAATAAATAACCCTGTAAAAATATCACATCCTTGTAGTTATGCATACTCTAAAGTCTGTGTCCACTCAACCCACATCCGACTGCCCGACAGATTTTACACCTTAGAGACTTCAAAGAAAAGTTCATGAAACCAGTAGACTGCTTGTAGCAGTCCTGCAGATGACTCTTCAGTCTGTGTTGGCATGTATACAAATAAAAGTATAGGACCAAGAGACCTTATCTGGAAACACTGGTCCTGGGTGTATGGCAGCAGTTTCCTCACAGAATTATATCACCATAGTCAAATAATGATGTACTGTATATACACAAAAGCACACCGACACAGTCAGCACCTGCAAACAGAGGGGAGGCAAATGTAGCCTCAGTTTGTTGAGAAAAAAATAAAAATAAACATTAGCTGAACAACTGGTGCAAATGTGAGAATGAGCAGAATCTGCAGTTCCAGTCTGTACTGGTGTGAACAAGTCGCTTTGTTTGGGGGTGACATAATTGCGCTACACTATTATACATGGTGTATGGGGGGAAAAAACAAAAAACTTTTATCTTCATTCAGTGGTTGTTTGGCTTATTTCACCAGTCCGATCTTCTTGGCTTCAGTTTCATAAATGAGTAACCTCCACATTTTCACTATGAAGACTTCAGCCTCTTCATCAAGAACCTAAAGCAGGAGTTAAGTGTAAAGAACATTGACAATTAACTGATTATCAGAATAGTTGCTGATGAACTTTCTGTCATGTAGTCACTCAAGAAACCAACATTTAAGCTCAACTGTTTGTTTGACGTACTGAGAATATGTGTATTCCTATTCTTAAGTAATCAGAATTTTGTTATTATCTGCAGACTTAAGCAAATGTAGGTTTTTTTTTTTATCCGGCTACAAAAACAGGATAAAAACATGACTTAATTTCCATGGAGATAAGCGAGCTCAAATAATGCATCTTAAACCCTGAGCGACACAACGCCCACTTGATGTGATGATGGTGAGCAATTCAGACACATCACGGTATGTATGACATTTGGATTCAGCCATTGTTATTTCTCACAGGACTATGATGAATACTATATTTTGACTAGGAGGTAGGTTGAAACCCACAGACTTTACACCTTTTCATCAATCAATTATGATAAAGGTTAAATAGAGAAAAAATGTTAGAACTGCCTGACTGCTGTTAAAATAGATGACCAGAACATTAACAGTCAACATGAACATAAACACAGCTCTGGGAGGGCTTTATTTAACTGTTACATTACTCACCATAGCAACATCATCCAAGATACTCTGTGGCATACTGTGAGCCATCACCTAGGAAAGATAAACACCACCATCATTTCATGTTTCACTCTCCCTCCGAGTCTGAATGAAGTCAAATGTACAGACATCACACGATCAATACCTTGGAGCAGACAAAGTCCACTAACGTTGGCTCTTCCTCTCCGATGTACTCAATAATCTTTTTATTGATCCAGGGCCGAACACGTCGTTCCATTAACGTCTAAAAAAGAAAAAAGACAAGAGATGAAGGCACAGGCTTTGTTTTAGAAGTTATAACAACATCTGCTAACGGTATGTAAATGAGAAACTCAAGAGGCAGAAATGAATGAATCACTGTCTTCTCCTGCAATAGACTTTGTAAGAAATATAATCACTTAGAGGTGCTGAGGCAGTGCACACTTAGTGAATACACTCATTGTGATCTTTATTAAATCATGTCTTTGTGCAGCTACTCCTGAAGGCCCGTTTTGTAAAGGATAATGAGTTACCTTGTCTGCTCATAAACAGGATAAAAAGACGAGTTCAATGAAATACAGCACATTGTTCCTGCTCTTCTCACCGTGTCAACCATAGACCAGTCCAGCGCGTAGGAGAACAGCTCAGGCTTTGCTGTGGGAATCTTTTCTATCAGACTCTTGATGTGTTTGCGTTTCTCCTCGGTGTTGGCCCCCTTTATGCTGGAGAGCCCGGCTCCGTCCACCCCGAGGCTCTTGTCATCGTCGTAATCCAGGGGCACCAGCTTCCTCTTGCGAGGCTGTTCATCAGCCTCTTCGTCATCAAACTTGTCGAAGACGCTATCCACGGGCAGCTTCTTCCTCTTACCTACATTGGGTTGACTGGGGCTTCCTGTGGCACCTGCAGAGGACAAGGAGCTTTATGAACACAGTTTTTATTTATATATGATAAAGTTCACTTTCTATATATTCTGCAGTGACTGAATCCTACCAAAACTATTCAATTTCCTTTCATGTCTGCCAGTATCTATTTCAATAAAAGAAAAATATATATTAATGGAGGTAAGTTAATATCTATATTAGAGAGATCTTACATATGTCATAAATGACAAATGTCCAGACCAAATTTCAATATCCACTGAAAATGGGGCTCTTTGTGCTCCTTACATATAGGTGGAGGGAGCAATCATAACAAAGAAAGCTTTGTAAGTTTGTCCAGTCGAATGAAAGTACGTGTGGAAAGGGAACAGAACTGTGGTGTGTGAGGTGGCTGATTGTTAAAATGGCAAAAATCCATTGAAGAGGATGTCTTGCTAAAGCTACTGACAACAGATGTGCAAGCTGTGCATTCTGGTCTACGTAGGCGACAATCTGTGGATAAATGTTTACTGCATCTTTGACTCTTGAGGATTTCTCCCCGTTTGGTTGTACCATTGTTGTAATGAAGCTCATTTACCTCGATCTGAAGTGCATTTAAAACAGAACCACTCCGTGCATTTTAGAGGGAAATGTGGCTATATTATGTTAGTTAAACTTCATATTTTCTTTTAGCAGTGAAGCTCTCTTCTGTGTCAGTAAACCACAAAGTAACAAGTGACTTGTACGATAAATTAGTCTGCCAGTTATTTTCTTGATTAAATCGTTTTCTCTACAAAATATCACAAGAATGCTTATTGCAATTTCCCAAAGCGCAAGGAGACGTCTTCAAATTGCCTGTTTTGTCAGTTGAAAACCTGAAGACATTTACAATATCAAGCAGAGAAAAGCAGCAAATATTCACATTCAGAAAGCTAGGATGAGTGAATGTAGGGCGGTGAGTCAGGAAGTCAGGAAAGTGAGTTAACATTTAATTGATGATCGAAATGTTTGCAGATTAAATTTCTGTCTGCTAACTAAATGATTAATAGTGTTGGCTCTCTCTGAGTGCTCCCTGCCTGTCCACGCTACACTGAGGACACATTTATTTTAGACTCACCCAGTTTGAGACTGAGGCCAATCTTCGGCCGCTGCTCCTCCTGTGGCAGGGCTTCGGGGGGTGAGTTTTCGTGGGGGATGATGATGCCGCAGGGCGACTCGTCCCCGGGTGTGTTGGGGGACACGTTGCCACTGGCCGAGGACACTGAGGGTGCTGCTGTGATGGGCCGCATCGTGGGCTTCAAGCACGGTTTTGCGTCAGGGTTGTCTTCGTCATTCTCGTAATCATTTTCCTCACCCTCCTCCACCTCGTCGTCTGAGTGGACAGGCCGTGAGCGGGCCTCTGCTCTCTCCTGGTCCTGTCGGCGGTCCCGGTGGTCTCGTGAACCCCTGTGGCGTTCCCGCTCCTCGTCGGGTTCCGGTTCTTGGATGATGGGTGGTTGTCTCAGACGCTCCTCCTCTTCCTCCTCCATCTGGACCAATAAGAGGCAGATATGCAGAAGATTAACACCCAAGCACAGTGTTTTACAGAGAAGAAGGTCAAGAGACAATGAAAGCTGGACAGCACAGATGTGCAGAGATGCAGAGAGACTAGGATGATAAAGTGACCTTCACAAAGACAACAGACAGCATGGCCACTCACTACAGACATACAGGCAAACCCACATACAATAATATAATAGACAAGCATACCCTGCGTAGCTCTGCGTCTGGGTTTGGATGTCCCTCGTCTAACAGCCTCTGTCTGATCTCCTCCAGCTCCTCCTTCTCTCTCTTCCTGTCACGCTCGTCCGCCTCCATCTCCTTCTCTCGGTCTCTGAGACGCTTCTGCAGCGCACTGCCCCTAGGGGTCACACCAAAAATTACAGCCTTCAGAACAATAGCCATAGCAGCAGTATTGCATCTGCTACTACAAGTCAGATCTGGGTCACACAGCATCTGCTGCATTATTTTTTTTTACTATGTTCTTACATGTTTAAGTGCCACATGGCTCCAATCTGTCACGCAGAGCAATGAAGTGAATACAAAAAGGTTTTGTCTTCATATGTTTACCTAAAATTTACAACATTTATGACACACTGTATTATTTACATGACATAGTTCTGCAAATTCAAGGTACTTACAGGCTGCATATCAGATGCAAATCCTATTCACAGAAGCACATGTGTGCATTTATTTTATTTGATCTTATATTTATTTTACTACTACTACTTAGCCTAAATAAACAGAGCAGTGCAGCATTTTTTATGTTGCTTACCTGTAGTACTTAGGGTCATCTCTGTCGTCATCATAGTCTTCAAGAAACTCTTTCAGGCGTTTGCCTTCTTTCACCTGAGAACACATAAGACCACGCTGAAATGTCTTCTGGATAATAAATCTATTTCTGCTCACAAATTTTATTCTCTGATTTATTCAATGAAATCATATGAATACAAAAAAAAACTAACATACACGTTTAATAATCCAGTCCAAATTGTAATTTAAAGCTTAAATGCATTCTGTAGTAGGATTAACAGTGATTAATTAATTTTGCTAGGTTTGAAAAGTAAAACAAGACAATATTGTTCCTTGTTAAATGAGAACAATGTGTACACCAAGTGTTCAATCTAAAGTAGGACATCTCTATGAACGTCAGTGGTCATTTAATGTGCTCTCACCATTTCTCGTCGGCGCTCATCTTCTCTCTCAGACTCCTTAGCGTAATCCCGTGCCTTCTTCCTCTCCCTGAGCTCCCAGTTTTTTAAACGCTGTAGTCACAGCAGTGTCAGGTAAGCCACAAACAAATAAAGGCAACAATTCTTTACTTTGGGGGTTCCCAATCATTTTTAATGTCAGCATTTAAGAGCTTAGGATCTAGTAACAGTGACTCTACTGGTACAGTAGTCTCTAAGACTCCAGGGTTGTGTCAACAGTCACTACTCACTATATAATACATAGTGTATAAGTCGCAGTGCAATAATGGAGTGTGAGCTCAACACAGCCGGGGTAACCTCCCAGCCTTCCCTACCTCCTGATAGGCTGCTTCCTTGTCTCTGAGTTTCCTCTCCAGCTTCCTGCGTTCATACGCCTCCTCTTCATCCTCTTGGTCTCGTTTCTTTTCTCTGTCTCGACTCATCTCCCTGCAAAAACAAAAGGTAAGGATATATTATCCTTGAATCGAAATTGGAACCAAAATACATACGTGTTAAGTGTAACTGTACATCAAAAAGAGGGGAGACAGAAAGGTGTCAATTAAGCAGGGTCTATATGTGACCACATGGTCCTGAGAAAAGGTTTAATCAGTCACAATAAGTGGAAACACCTGTGTGAGTGTGTTGGGGCTTTAGGCAGCTGTGGAAAGCTTTCACTGAACATACCGTTTTAACCTCCACATACTGTTCAACTAAGTTTGTTTGCAATTCTCAGTTGTCTAAGAACATTTGCATCAAAATTATGACAGCTTGCATATTATTTTCCATGTAGTAGTAGTAGTATTAGAAGTAGTGTAGTACTAAGGATTCACTTGGGATTCATGTTGCAGTCTGACATGATACTGCTACTAAGAGACTATGAGGTGTTTTTTCTTCACCTAGACCGACTGCGGTTGGGGCTCCTGTCGCGGCTTCTGTCCCTCTCCCAGTCTCGGTCTCGCTCTCTTTCTCTGGTCCTGCGGTCACGGTCTTTGTCTCTATCTTTCTCTCGCTCCCTTTCCCTCTCACGCTCCCTTTCTCGTTCCTTCTCCCTCTCGCGGTCCCGCCGCTCTCTTTCCCGCTCTCGCTCTTTTTCCCGCTCCCTCCGTTCCCGCTCAAACTCCAGCCGCTCCTTCTCCCTCTTGTCCTTCTCTTCTTCTAGTTTCTGCAGAGCAAAACACAGACAGGGTCAGCCGATGCCACACAAGATCCAGCGAGTCTTTGCAGTCAATTTGCTACTGTGCACAGATCAAGTGGTTTCCAGATTTTAAAGGGGGTTTCATGAAGGAACATGCTCTACACTAATCAGTGCAAAGCTTGTATGAGAAGCTGGAATCCTAACTGGGAAACCTGGAAGGATTAAAAAAGGCTCTCCCTCACAGAGAGACAGCTTCATCGTTCATCTAAAGCCATAGACTGTACTTTGTTGCTTCGAACTTGCACTATAAACTAGGGTTTAGCTAATATAACTGGAAACCACTTTAACAGACAAAAAAGATCTGTGGAACATCTTCAACTTGAGGCATTCATAAGAAAAAGGCGCTGCAAAAGACAATGCTTTTTCTCTCCTTAAGAGTCGTCCTCTCAGAACAAGGAAAACAAAAACAGAAAACAGGCGTCAGTCTTTTGGTGAACTAGTTGTTTGTGACTTACAGGTGTTGAACTATGGACTCAGCCCTTCGCTGCCCCTACAAGCCTTTTAAGTTAGGCCTGGGAGGAAAGCAGGTAACACGGTATACAAGGGAAAAACGTTATGGGATTCTGTCTTGCTTAAGCATCATCATTATCATCATCATCAAATCAACAACCTTTACTTCAATGAGTAACATGGCATTCGGTAAAGTGCTAAATCAAGAAATGAACATAATGAACATCAGTTACATTTCTGCACAGATAAATGAAATGTAGAAACAGTCTTACCCCTGCAGAAGTCTTCAGCATCTCTTCACGACTCATTACTAAGACACACACACACACACACACACACACACACACACACACACACGGCACACGCAAAACACACACACACTAAACACACACACTCCAGTTGTGCCTTTATGGGCATTACATACAAGGCTTTGTAGGTGTAACGTGGTTAACATTTATAGTCTAAGCAGACGCCGAATAAAAAAACTAAATATAAAAGAGCAAAACACTAGGTTTAGAGTACTGCATTTCCATTACTTTAAATGGCACTCGTGCTGTTATACTGAGTAATGCACAATAAGTGTGACAGTAGAATCAACAATTTTTTATGTAATTTGATGAACTACCACACAGTCACATGCAGCCACATGCAGTCTGCTGGTATTAAGCTAGAAACACAGACTTTACTAAAAGCCTTGGATGTAATGCAAGTTAAGAAAAGGAAACTTATGACATGAGAAAGAAGTTGGAAGCTGTTAGCAATAATTTAAACCCTTCCTTAGCTCAGGTTCCGTATCATTACATATTGTGCCTCGACTCAAGCACAAATCATGTCAGGTGATGAATTTTGCACCCATTTTGGTGTCTTTTTACTTACCTTCATAGTGTGTCTACCAGGGCTACACGGTTCTCAGCAGAAAATGAAACATGACTTCGCTATTAGAATCTAGTTTGTCTAGTCTAGTCTGTTGTCGTCGTGGTTTTTGTTCTGTTTAATCAGAATTGTTTGTAGAATTGTATTAGTTAAAAACCAGAGCAATAAACTGAAAAGGGCAAAACGTAAACAGTGCTAGTATTCACATATACTTCTGATTGTCTATCGTCTATCGTCTTTCCCGTTTCTGGTTTAATCTTTTGACCTGGTAGCAGGACTTAGTTTTGGCTTTTTCTAAGATAAAGTAGAAAACGAGGAGTGTGTACTTGAGTTTCATCTTGTACAGCATTTAAATCAATGCATGAACTCACTGGTCTATCTTGGAGAAAAATAAGGCAGAGAGAGTGAAGATACTGATGGATAGCAAAGATTCACACAGCACCACATACAGAGAGCACGTACCTTGTCAGTCTTCAGATCAGCGTGCTGCTGTGGAGAGGGCGCCCCCCACACTAGCATAATAAAAAGCTACAGCCAAAGGCACTGCAGTGGTTATTGACAAGAGTCCTTGTGCTTCAACATGAACACCATTAAGACAGACCATAATATACAGAGGACTCACACAGGTTCACTGACTTTCAAGCTTTTGGGGCACCCACCAATAATGTCACAAAATAAAGATCAAAAGGTCACAAGGTACTTTTGTATTGTCAAATGGTTGGCTGAAAAAAAAGGAGCATCATAAGCCCTGGCCAACACACACAAAAGTGCAATACAGTTGCCCCTATGCAAGTCCTCAAGAGGGGGACGCCCAGTATATGTACATAGTAAATGAAGGCTGATACTTACATCCTATCCGTGTAACTTTTTCCAAAGCTCTGAGATTCATCTTGCTTTAGTCACCATATGATCACTATCATAATGGTGGGGTTTAATGAATAGATTAGCTTTTAAGTAACTTTACATCGTCTCCATGCATTATTGTGTAATGAATGAAGAATGGATCTATAATGGTCACACCTAGATAGTTTCACTATGGTGGTCACAGGTGTCAAGTCAGGCCTGAGACAGGTGACAAAAATACTAGCTGTCTTCCTAGTCGTGGTGTTTGAACATTGAACATGAAACATTTCATATAATATGGGGCGAATTAAGATGTTTGGTGGTGTAAATTTTAAGGACTGCCAAATTGTAGCGCAGTATGCATGTTACTGAGATCAAGAAAAGCTTGGTAAATGTGTCAACTAAATGTGCAAGCTCTAGGAGTGAACTATGTGAGCAGCTGCTGTCCAAAACCTGTAATGTCAACTACAAGATCAAAGGAGCCACTTTACCTTGTGAGTGTCACGAAATTTACTGATTTCTCTGGAAATCAGGTCTCTCTTGTCCTCCTCCATATCAATAGTGTTAATGTCGTCCTAAAGAAAAAGAAATACCAATGAAAAAGTCTTAGTAAACTTTTAACATTTTAAGTTCCAAGAGAACAACAGTACAAAGTCAGAGAGGAGCAAACAAAACTTGGTATACCTCTTCTTTTTTCTCCTTTTTTCTCTTTCGTCGCTGGGATTCCTCATCCTGTGAAGGCGCGTTGAGTTCTGCAGCATATTCCCGCATCAATCCATCGATAGCACCTTTGACTATCTGATCCTTCTTCTTTGTCTCCTCATCTAGAACCTCTTCCTCATCCTCTCCTCCATCTTCAGCCTTCTTATTCTGCCAGTACAGAAGAAATCCAAGTTTAGCAATGAGTTAACTGATTAATTCAATCACTGCAATAAATAAACATTTATTTGAATTGCTTAAGAAATTTAGGATGCAGCGATTCAGAGATCTGGAACCGGTCTAGGTACATGATCGATTCCTGGGGCAACAGATACAGGCACACAGATCCTACTCAACCAGTAATTCCCTAAAACGGAATTATACCCCATTCACAGTCTTCTTCTTGGCCTTCCACTCATCCAGCTGAGCTTTAGTCTTGGCATCCACCTTCACCAATAGATTTTTGTCTCCAATCTGCAGGTCATGAAGCAGCCGCAGTGAACGCAACGTGGACTCTGGCTCCTTGTACTCACAAAACCCAAAGGCTGCAAGAGAATTCGACATGGAAACAGACATGAAGGCAGATTCATATGTGGATAATTTGATAAGATAACAAATACTAATTAACTGAGTAATTTCTGGTTGGTTTTAAGGGAAATCTTCGTATGTATTTTGGAGAAGACCACCCAAGTTAGCCATGAATGAAAAGTATTTCCTTACCTTGAAGCTTGCCAGAGGCTCCTTGGACTCTCTTCCAGCTCAGAACAATTCCACATTTCTAAAACACGAACATAAAAGGGAAGAAGAGATCATGGCTCAAGTAGAAGTGGATTCTTTTTTTAATGCCACAGCACAGGATTCAGTTTCAGCAGATTACAAACCCAATCTGGTAACCAAATTTCATGATATTAGTCTATATGGCATCAGGGTATATGAAAAGGAGGTTTGTTATTTGATGAGTGTTGCCGAACAAATCTATAAGATAACCCCATCTATAGAAGAATAATAAAATCTATGTCACATAGAAGACAGAAGAATCAAGTCTATGTTATTTGAAATGAATCTGTAAAATGAATGTAATTTTTCCTGAAGACAATTCTTTTTAGATAACATAAATATTCCACAACTGAATGTTTGTCTGTGCCTTACCGCCAGCAGCTGTCTGATCAGCATGTCTGAAGCTTTCTCTGATATGTTCCCCACAAAAACTGTGGTGGTGGGACCGCTGCTCTCATCATTGTCTTTGACTCGCAGGGCAGCAAAGTCCTTCTTGGGGACCGGAGGCTTACTGACCACTGACACAGAAGGCACCATTACTGTCGGGGTGGAGGTCATGATGCCCACGTGAACTGGGATCATCGGAGTTCCTGCAACAACCAAAGGAAAGGTAGTCAACTTGAGACAAAGCACGTCTGGAATGAAATAGTTTGTTTGAAAGAAGTTGGTTAATATCAGCAGATAATGACTTCCTACTGTAAGTTTCTTTATGTGTCCCTCCTAAAACAGGTATGTTCAACATTAAAAACAGATCAAGTAAAAACGGCTGTCATCTACATTTATTTTGGGAGTGTGATGCTTACCTGAGGCGAAGCCAGCAAACTGAGGGGGCATCCCAGGAGGAGGCAGCAGCGGCCGGTTTAAATGAGGTGGGAACGACATTCTGGGACCTGATGGAGGAACAGTGACACTCATCAGCGGTCAGAAGAAGTCCTCTGAACAAAGAAAACTTCCACATTATAAATGATACTCAAACACACGCACATATTAACTTGTTTTCGTTGCAAGCACAGCCGAGGACAACACTAGCGTGCTGTGTTTGTAACGTTAGTTCAGAAACTGTAGTTTAAGTGGGGTAACGTTCAGTGTTTAAGTGTTTTTACTTTGTTTCATTCATCGCGGTACACTGTGTTGTACCTAAACAGCCGATTCCCAATTCAAGCAACCAATACATCAGCAGCACAACGAGCTAGAGCTAGCATTAAGCACGCTGCTCTGTACCCGGCACAACTATTACTACGATTCGGCTAAGCTAACATTAGCCAGAGCTAGTCTGACCTAACAAGCACAACTCACTTTAGCGGGCTAAATATGAGTTCGGAATAAATGTGGAAATGTCCACACATACCTACCCCGAGTTAGGTGGTGTACAAAGTGATAAAAACCGCTATCCAAAGGTTATTGATTATGGAAATCTGTGTAACGTTCCGATTGTTAGATTAGCACGTTGGCTAGTCACGGCCTTCAAAAACATTGACGCAGGCGCATTACGTACCTGACTTAGAGGCGCGCTTGTTTTGGATGTGGGGACTTCACCGCTGGGCGGAGCTGGAAAATATGGTAGAGCAACGGCAGCAACTGGCACTACTAGTTTTTATTGGTTTGTTTGTTTTGATTCGTTAACACTGTTTATTCGGTGCAAATAACAAGAACAAACAATGTATCCTACCTCCGAGACACTGACAATAATGTCTAACAGGCAAAACGAAGTAGCAGTACCGATATAAATATACTAAAATAATAAAACTTACTTTTAATTTAATTTAAAAAAATAATATAAATAAAAAGGTACAACTGGTTATATTATGTATAGCACATTAGTAACTTATATAACTACTATAATAATGATTGTATTATTTATTCTAGCTAGTATTATTAGTAGTATTAGTATAGTAGGATTATTAAAGTATTTCTGATTCTTATTCTGATTCTGTATGCTGTTAATATGTTCGACAACTGATTTCCTCCAGAAAGTGTGACAATTTCAATCTTTTTAGTTTTAATTGAAAACTCTCATTAGTGAGGGATTAGGAACAACACCAAAAACAGCTCATAAATACCACTGATTCATTCATTAACTGATGTAACTAAGTAATCAGCTCAGTGCCTCTGTCCTTTTAGGAGTCTAAACTTTAAGGCTTGGCTTGAAGCTTGTCACCCTGGAGGAGGTGGTGGAGGAGAGGATGCTGGCAAAACTGCTGGCAATCATGGACAATCCCTTCCTCACCCCCTCCACACAACACTGGACAAGCTAAACAATAACAAAAACAATATATAAGATCTATTGTATGTATATCTTCTTGTATAGTTGTATAGTAAGTATCTAGTATACATATGTTATATATCATATCATATCTTGTGTGTATATATATGTGTACATATTATATAGTGTATATATATATATTACTGTATGTATGTATGTATGCACACCTTGCACAGGCTGAATATATGACACATGTTTACATCATATCAATATTAATGTATAATATCTATGTGTATACATGTATATCTGTCCAGTCATCATATTATATACACATATTGTTATTATATTCTTATAAATATTATTAATATTATCATTACGTACTGTTATTATTATATACTGTTATTAACAATAACACTACCATCATGTCATCAGAACTATTACCACCATCTTGCAACTACAACTCTTTATACCTTACCTACCTATTTATCTTTTTTTTATCTTTTCTATCTAAGTATTTTATTGTATTGCTGTATTTTATTGTATTGCTGTATTTTATTGTATTGCTGTATTTTATTCTGTTGTTGTATTTTATTGTATTTTAATGTACCTGGCTGCTATGACGACCCAATTTCCCTCTGGGGATGAATAAAGTCTATCTAGCTATCAATCTATCTAAACATATGAGCTCAGATATCCAGGCTTTAAAATAATTTACATTATTATTCAATAATTGTATTTCCCTGCCGATCACTACAATCCTGGCAGTATCTATACGTTTTATTTTAATACAAACACAATCACCCGTCCATGCTGAACCCCATTTATACTGCATGTACGTTATTTATGCTACAGAACGTTGAGGTGGCCGGTTACCATGGCGCTTCTGTTGTAGCCACTGGCTCCCTGTGACAGCAGCTGTGTCGCGAGGGGCTGCGTCTGACAAGCCGTGACGTCACTTTAGGCGGGTTTTTCATGGAAAGTGCTAGAAGAAACGAAGCACACCCTCCCGGTTTTTAAATATTCTTCCCTCAGATTAAAAAGGTCCTCGCTTTTTTTGCTATAAACTAAGCGGTGTACGTGTGATTTTTGATCGATTAGATGTCTTATGTTGATGCGGATATTTCTACCTCGACAGCATACAGCGGCAGATACGAAAACTTGTCCGTCTTGAAAAATGTGGACTATGTGTATCATCTAGTACTATTCTTTTAGACATAAAGGGCCACAAGGGGGCATCAATGTTGCGCTGGGCGATTGACTTTTAGTTGTTATTGCTGTATTTCAATACGCTTTATTCTTTCCCAAGGTACAAGGTTACCTTTAACACCAGGTGCGTTGTGAATGAAGACTCTCACCAAATTATATTGGTCTTGTAAGGAAGACATATAACACATTTAGACGTTTATTATCATTTCCAACATTTATTCGAGATTTATTGTACTGGCATTTAATACATTGCTGTCAATTGCAGTATGTCAAGCTTACTTGGTTGTATCAATACTTCTGTTTATTCACTACCTCTTTAAACGCTCATGCAAACCCTCGAGTTTATCATTTTATTTGTTTTCTTGAATGAAATTGCTATTTTCTGTGATCCTAACTGATTTTAGTGGTGGATGGTGCACCGCGGATGGATACGGCCGCACACTGAAACGACTGTGTATAAAGATTCCGGTCTATTAAAAGGAAGTCCCTTTCCATTTCCCTGCGTCAGAGAGCAGAAGGGACAAGATATTGGTTGCATTTTATTCAAGATAAGTCAACGGAATAAACAAGGTACGTACAATAGTGTTTTGCTCGCACGTTGAACACCTTATCCTGCTTTAATAATTGCGTTTTGTGAACCCATCACCGCGCTATGGTTGGATGTATCCACGGTGAAAGCTCATGAGTCACGACGACAACCTTAGCATCATAACCGTCTCGTGGGCTACAGTTAGCACACTAACGTCTGTTCGAGTAACGGTTGCGTAATATTTAATCCTTTTTAAAAACACGAGAGATTTTTATTTTATTTATTTTATTTTTTTTTCGTGTCCTAGCCGATCATTTGTGATGCTGAGCGGCGTGAATGCGGCACCGTGCCGCACTGTTAGGCCAAGGGCTCCGGTTGCACCAAGGCAGGTGTGGTGAAGATGACAACGCCGACTCGGTTTATATAACGGACCCAACCGGGTGAACGATATTCGGCCGACCTTGCGTGGCCAGAGCACCGAGCAGGAGCATCCAGTCAAATCCCTTTTACCACCTTTTTTAAACTCATACCATTAAGTAAATATACGGTTATTAATGTAACGGTTGATTCGGACTAGTTTAGTGTCATTGTATGTTAAACTGTTCCGCAGCTACTAATAAAACCGATGTGGTTGTTGATGGCATATGTCGCTTCTGATGTTCGGCTGTAACGTTACGATTTAATGACAAGTCATTGTTGTGGCTTTTTTTTTTTTTTTTTTTTTTCCTCGTCGGCTCATGTGATAATATTGCTTTGTATTAATGCCAGGTTGAGTCGCCATCCACTGGTTTTTTTTATGGTTATAAAGGTTTTAATCGCAACTGATAAACTGTCGCATTTCCAAACGGTATCCTTATTTTCGTCTGTAGTCGTCCTTTAGCACGTGTTTGCGGAGTCCATTGTCTGTCGGTCGACGCCATGTTGGTTAACGGCTACTTCCGCCGATTTTGGTAACATGATGGCAGCTATCCAATTGTACGAAACCGGCTTGACGACGTGTTCAATAATGATTAAGTTTTATGGCTGACGAAACCGAAAGAGTTAGCTGATAGAAGTGGAATAAATATCGAATCAAAAATATGCCATTTTAACGCTTCAATATCTTGAATAGTCTCTATTGAGTCATTGTTTTGTTTAATCATCCCCTAAAATGTACAATTTGTTTTTGCCAGCCATTTCCACCATTTAAACTGAAAACTGTTTGCTAAAAGCCATTTTTCCCCCCTCTTGTGTAGATGCCTGAAGAAATGCACCAAGAGGAGGAGGCTGAGACCTTTGCCTTCCAGGCAGAGATCGCTCAGCTGATGTCCCTGATTATCAACACCTTCTATTCCAACAAAGAGATCTTCCTCAGGGAGTTGATCTCCAATGCCTCTGATGTAAGTCTGCAGGAGCTCTCCTTAGTAGTTCATGCTACACAATAATTTAGCTGTTAGGTCATTTAATATTAATACTAGTGGTAGTGCATCAAATTGATTTTTAGCACCATGCATGCTTTAATGTTTCCCGTAATCCTAATGTATTTTGATGGCTTTTTTTTTTAAACAGGCTTTGGACAAAATTCGCTATGAAAGCCTGACTGAGCCCACCAAGATGGACAGTGGCAAGGAGCTGAAAATTGACATCATCCCCAACAAAGCTGACCGCACCCTGACCCTGATCGACACTGGAATTGGCATGACCAAAGCTGACCTGATTAACAACCTGGGTACCATCGCCAAGTCTGGCACCAAGGCCTTCATGGAGGCCCTGCAGGTACTACAGTTGAACAGTCTACATTGCAGGATGTGGAAAATGATTGGAAATGGTACAGAAGACAAGACCACTTTGATGTAACCATATAGTACATACAGTTTCACTTGCAATGCAAAGAACATGGATAACTGATCAGTGTGGTTTTTTTGGGGGTTTTTTTGGTCCTTATACATTGGGTTTTTCTGCAGATCAATACTTGCATTGAATTACCATTTAGGTAAATTTATCTTTTTGAATTGAATTAACATCTGTAGCCTTTTTTAAATTTGTCATACTGTAACTTTCACACACTATCTGAACCAAATACTGGCAGGTGCAATCAAATAATTGTTCACAGCCATAGTGTGTTCCAGACTACTTTGACTGCTATATCTTTAAAGTTGTGAGTGAATAATTTCAAATGTTTGATCTCTCTAGGCTGGAGCTGATATTTCCATGATTGGTCAGTTTGGTGTGGGTTTCTACTCTGCCTACCTTGTTGCCGAGAAGGTGGTTGTCATCACCAAACACAATGATGATGAGCAGTACGCCTGGGAGTCCTCAGCCGGAGGTTCTTTCACAGTCAAGGTCGACACCGGTAAGTATTCTGGCACCATTACAGAATCAAAGCAGTGCAACATTTGACAGTTTACATAGGATTATGACATGCTAGTGTCATAATCACACCTGGCACCTTGTCAGCATCAATGGTGGAACTTTATTTGCCGTTACCTACTTCCTTAGGATAACCTTTGGCATTCATTAACTGCAAAGGGATGACACTGAATCCTTTAGTGACTTAAAACCTAT